TTTTGCTCAACAAAATATTTTTGATCTCTACATCGACGAACCCCAAGATTTTGGTACTGAACAGCCAATAGATTTTGCTTTCTTTAAGTTTCATTTATTGGCCATATTTTTATTGTCTTCTGATTCTGAAATCATACTACTATCTTCTGATTTTGATTCTTTTTTTTTTCACAACTTTTTATGTTATATCCATACCCACTACAATATTTACACCTATTACTTCGAGTTTTAGTTTTAGATAACTACTGATTAACTTCGATGCTAGAAAAAATACGTTGTGCTCCTTGTAAATACCCTTTTTTCTTTTTTGCTACTGGATTTTCAACTTTAACAATATTATTTTGCACATTTTCCTTTTCTAGAACAATATTATTCTGATAATTAGCAATTAGCATAGTTAAGTTATTTTGAAAATTCTTGAGTAATGAAGTTAATTGTTCATCCAATTCTAACTCAATTGCTTTGTTTACTAGAGTTTTAGTGAGTCTAAAAATTTTGGCATAACATTGTTTTTCTTTTAAATAAGAATGTATTAACTCAATTTCTTGATTAGAAAAACTATGAAAATTATTACCCAAAATGGGTGCCCACTTCATAGAAAAAGAATGGAGATTATCATTATTAGAACTTCCCAATTGAACAAAGCACCTATTACTAATATCATCATTATATGCTTGATCTTTACACCAATATTAATTAATTATATTGATATGAAATCTTGCTAATGGTGTCATAGACATAACATGAACAAAATGTCAACAAACCCAGCCCAAAGTTGTAGACATTTTGCAAGTGTATTGGTAATTACTATCTGTTAAAATAAAAATAAAATGTAGAATATCCAGATACTTGTTGTGTCTTACTTCTCAAATAGAAATTATTTGATTATAATATTTATGCAGAATTGTGTTAATGCATACTTGGAGTAAGTCAAAAATTTCATCCAAACATGAAGTTACACAATTCACTTTTTCGCCCTCCTCAAGAGCTACATATTTTGGTAATTCCTTTGCATAATTCAAAAAGCTATGGTTCATTTGTTCTCTAATTTTATTAACAATTGGCATAGTAATAAAAGTTTGAATTTTAATGTCTACATTCATAAAAATTGTATTGTAAATATTTGGTGCTAAAATAAAGGGCATTAATTCCTTCTATAATATAAATTTGCTATTATCTTGACATTTTTGAAGAAATTTTAAAACATTATTGCAAACTTCAAATAATAATCTGGGTCATCAGTTTAATTTTATTTTAATTGCATTATTTATATCTTCAACTTGACTTGTAAATTGCATACCTGCTATAAAGCAGGAGCTTGAGTAGCACTTAGCCTACGATTTTTTGCTTTTGTATAAATATTCAAAATATTTTTAGACTCTTGGATACTTTTCTATTAATTTAAGATACTGTTTTTCAAAATCATCAACTTCAAGCCTATTATAACACTGGTAAAAAGCCTTGGCAAAACTTTTATATTCTTCTGACAATTTACTTTGCAGATTTTTTAAAATATTTTGGCCAATATGCCATATACAATATAAGTGTTATATTGAAAGAAATATTTGTGTAATCGCCACCTCTATTGCTGGATCAGCATCCATAATTATAACCAGTGGTGAGAGATGAACAGCTTGAACAAATATTCTTAAACTTTATAAATACGATTCTAATGTTTTATCTTCAATAAATGCCTGTGTAATAGGCCTTGAATTATAGTTGTTATCAACAACTAAAAAAAATGATAATGGTAGATTGTAAACATTTGTTTTTGCTGTATTGTTATGTGTGACAATAGATCCATAATGAGTATATAATTGAACTTGATGTAGTTCTATCCAAAATAAATATTTTAATGCTCGTATTAATGGATCTATTTGATATTCAACAACACATTCAGAATTATTTGCTTTCTTAGCAAGTAAATCATTTAACAAATTGCATGTATCATTAAGTGTTAATAATTTTTGGTGGCAAAAATGGCTAATAGTATTGTATAAGTCTTTTTTTACAATATTTCTCTTATACTTGCTTATAAGCAGCTGATATTGTTGAGATGCTGCTATATTTTTTTTTATATAAGGAACTTAATATCAGCAAGCATTGGTTCAGTTAATTTATGAAACTGAGGTAACAAATATGCATTATCTGAAGATAAAACATGTTCTTGGTGTTCATTAACAAGTAAAGTCACTATATAATTGCCTTCACTATTTTGATTAATATTAAGATGCCATAGGCAATTCACTTTACATAACTATATATTATACTGATTCTCAAGGGGAGCTGTTTTACATGAATTAAAGATTCCTGAATGGCGACAAAGAAATGTTCGCTTCTTAATATTCTGTTTATCATGTTTTTTAGAATAGCTTTTATAATAACCAAAACCCTGTTACTTGCAAAATTCATTTAGAAATAAAGTTACTTCATCCCAAGATCTAAATGATTTTTCTACATAAAGTTCTCTTGTTTCACTTCTCTCTTGATCTTTGCTAATTTCTGCCATTTTTTTGAAGCTTAATATTGGGCTATTCATACTAATAATTATGAATCTATAATTTTGTAATGCACAGATACTATCTGCTTAATTAAAAAAAAAATAAAATAAAATCTAGGTATACATTTGTAATACTTCTTGCGATTCAACAATATGCTGGATACTACCTTTCTCAGTTTTATTCACCACTTTTTCCTACCTTTCTCAGTTTTATTCACCACTTTTTCAATTGGGTTATTCATGCTAATAGTTATATATTTGATATACTTGATACAATTATTCTATTTAAAAAAAAAAAAAAAAAAATCAGAGCCTATGCTTGTAATATTCGTGTCTCAACATTATGCTGGGTACTAGCTTTACTAAATTCTTTTGCCACTTCTTCAAAATTTAGCATTAGCCTTTTTATACTAATATTTTTAGTAATACATTTGATATTATCACCTAATTAAAAAAAAAAATCAGTATTTATACTTGTGTTCATGCTAGATACCAGTTTTGCTAAATTCTTTCGCTACTTCTTCAAAATTTGTTATTAGCCTATTTATACCAATATTTGCATTTTAGTAATACACTTGATATTATCTTCCAATTAAAAAAAAAAAAACAAAACAAAACAAAAAAAGTAAATTGTATTAATATTTTTTGTTATAAGATATATTTTAATAATAATAATAAAATAGTGATAGATCAAGAAAGGCTTGAAGAATTGCAAGAATTTGTTGATCTTTATATACAACAAAAAATTATGTTTTACATGTATAAATTTTTAAAATTTTTGTTAAAACATATAATTTTATATTTTATTAGAGAAAATCTAGATAGTGCTCTGGTGCACTTTGTGCCCCTACCATTTGATTATCATAAACAAATTGTGTAACATAAATTTAAACCTAGATTAATGGATATTATTCAAAATAGTAATACTGCAATTGTTTGCTAAGTTTATCGTCTGTTTTGATATGTATATGCATATGATGTAATCACTCAACAATATAAATAAAAGGAGGTTCAATCACTTGTAATTGAATCTCTTTCACAAATATTAATATTAAATAGATTGCTAAAATAAAGATTTACAAGTATAAATAACATGAATAAAGGACTTTATATCTTTGAGTAGACACATAGTGCAGCATAATCATTAATCTTTGCAGTTAAATACAAGACACTATTAGAAAATTGAACAAATGTAAAACTGGTTTATATTTAAAAATTCATTATTTTTTTAATTAAGACACAAGAAGCAAGCTCTGATTTTTTTTATTTTATTTTTGTAGTTAAGAGATAGTATATAGTTAATTACTAAGACACAAGTATATAGCAATTAGTGTGAATAATCTAAGCTTTGGAGAAATGGTGGATAAAATTGGTAAAAGTAGT